TTGTTTTGTTTTTTCTTAAGATTTTATTTATTTATTTGACAAAGAGCACAAGCAGGGGGAGCAGCAGGCAGAGAGAGGAAGAAGCAGGCTCCCCACTGAGCCAGGAGCGGGATGCTGGGCTCAATCCCAGGACCCCGGGATCATGACCTGAGCCAAAGGCAGATGCTTAACCAACTGAGCCACCCAGGCGTCCCCACAGTAAGTTGAATACATGCTAGTAATGTACACTCAGTTTGCCATCTTGGTACAGAAACATTATGCTTTTCAAAATAGGATGCTTAAATATTTTTAAATAATATAAACACAGCATTTCAAAATGTGTGAAAGCTTACCTTAAAGCAATCCATGGAACAATGTCTCTCCCTCTCTCTCTCACACAGACACACACACAAATAAATGAAATGAAAATGAAAAATGAAATGAAATTAAACAAGAGAGTAAGGGAACCAGAAGTAGGGTATCTACTTGAAATTGGATAACAAAGATACTCTTTGCCTTGCTTTCTGATGCCAGGAGGATGCCATCTCCCAAAATCTTCAGTTTGCAATTCTATATACCACTGGCCACACTGTAACCAGGGTGGTATGTCTAAAATAAAAGTCTTATGTAACTTGTATAAATAAATCTTTAGGTGAGTATAATCTTACAGATTAAAAAATATTCCATGATCTGGCATACCCAAACTTCATCTTAGGCCCACTTTTTCCCCTTGCTCTATATTCCACTGATGATTAAAATTTTCTTTCTGGTCCTCAAATTCAACATTCCTCATTCCTCACTCTGGACCATTACACATGATGCTGATTTCTCTCTGAAACACTTTTCTGCACCCCAAATCTGTCATTCCCTCCTAAAATGGAACAGGGTTAAAGGAGACCAGAAACAAAAATCCAACATTCAGCAGAGTACCAAAGAGGTTTATACAATAGGTGGTAAAAGCTTAACGAAGATATGACAGTAAAGCAGATGAAATATAAAATATGAGATATACTGAGATATGTGAAATAAAAGCCAGCATTTTAGCAATCATATTGTCCTAAAATGCAGCTTGTTGAATTAAGAGTTATCCTCTATGTGACTTTTCCTATAGTTTCTCAAACCCAATGAATTCAAGGATTTTGTGTAAAAGAATCTCCAAAAAACAGACCAAGCTATTTGGTATGAATTATTTCTTACTTCAATTAAATCTTAGTTAACCTATTGGGTTAGAGCAGTGATTTTCAAAACATAGTTTCTTGGATTAGCAGCATTATTATAAGTGGAATTTTTCTGCAGTGAATATTATTGAGCTTCATTCACACCGGACTTCCTATATCAAGAACTCTAGGCATAGGGCCCAGAAATCTGTATTTTAAGATGTATCCAGGTGGTTCTGATATAAGTTAGGTTTGAAAGCCACAAGGTTAGGGAATACAGAAATAGTAGTAAACAGTAAAAGATCCTAATCACAACACAAAGTATCAGAAGGATGAAACTGTAGAGAGAACAAGTCAACAACAGTTGATCATCTACTCTTTGTCCCACACTAATGGACACTAAGTTACTTTAGGGACAAAACCCCAGAAAACAAAAAAAATAAATGCACACAAATAATATAATTGGAGGGTTCCAATGAATACTGTACTGATAAAGGCCAATAAGGAAGAGCCACCTTTAAGTGCTTATAAAGAAATTATGTATAATTGTAACATTACTCATTATTTTGCTCACTCAATAAAAATTCACTGAATACTACTATTAAACCATACATTATACTAAAAGCTAAAGCTGTGATAAATAGGTTTTAATAAAAACAGAAGAAATTTTGAAAAGTCAAAGCTTTTAAGTAATTTTGTTTGTTGTACTGGAACTTATTACCCAGGAAGAGTGTAAGGAAAAGGATAACCTACTATGAGTCCATATTTTAATGTACAAGATCACAATAAAACATTTGGTGCTTTTTTAGTTTACCTATTGTTAAGTCCAATTAAATTAATTTCAATGTTTATGTGCCTAAGGGAATATTAGCTCTGATCTATAAAACCATTATACACACCCCCACACATACATACATACACACAACATACTACATATATAACTAACACATATATTACAGGGACACTTGGGTTGCTCAGTCAGTTAAGTTTCTGCCTTCCGCTCAGGTCATGATCTCAGGGTCCTGAAATTAAGCCCCACACCAGGCTCTCTGCTCAGTGGAGAGTCTGATTCTCCCTCTATCTCTGTGTTCTCTCCCCTTCTCTTGCTCTCTCCCAAATAAATAAAATCTTTTTTAAAATACATACATATATACAGGTATATATCAACTAAACAAACTATGAAATGAAAAAATTCTCAACTAAGGACTGACAAAGATTAATTCTTATAGAACATAACCAAATTCCTTTAGATCTATGCCGGCAATTTTTAAAAAAATGTTTATTTATTTGACAGACAGAGATCACAAGTAGGCAGAGAGGCAGGCAGAGAGAGGAGGAAGCAGGCTCCATGCTGAGCAGAGAGCCCGATGCGGGGCTCGATCCCAGGACCCCGGGATCATGACTTGAGCCGAAGGCAGAGGCTTTAACCCACTGGGCCACCCAGGCGCCCCTATGCTGGCAATTTTATTGCACAGATACCTCCTCTCCTCAACATGTTCATTTTTGTAAGTGCTGTCATCTCTTGAAAAGCAATATTTTGTAGTAAGGTGAGTATACGCTTTGGAGCCAGACACAAGTTCAAATCCTTTCTCAGCTACTTAATTATCTATGTCATTAGACAGGTTTTGTAACCCTCAATTTTTCATCCTAAAAATATTTTAATGACAAATTCATAAAATTGAGAATTTGGCTTACAAACAAGCCCATAATAGATGTTTTATAAATGTTAGCCCCTCACTTCCTTCCCTTTTTCAGAATGGCATCCCTCTGTCAGTCCATTAATTATCCTTAGTCTTGATGGTGTATTTTCATACTGACAATCAGAAACAGGACATTACTTACAACATTTGTGCTATCTACAGGCCCTTCCATGGCATTTTGGCATTTCACAGATTCTTCTGAATATTTAAATGCTGAAATTGTAGTACTGTGGAAAAGACCTATATGGGGAGCTGGGAGACCCACAACTAGTTTCATTAATGGCAGCAAGTAACTTGGGCTTTATCCCACTGGATTGGGATAATTTCTTATAAAAACTAGTGTGTTAGACAAGATAATTTCTAAGGCTTCTTCTGGGTCTTTGAAATTTTAATTCTAAATGTTGGCAAAGAATTATTTTAGATCATTAACAACTGGACTCTTGGGCCTAGGAATATATCTCATTTGGGAAGGAAAGCTCAAGATAGAAATGTAAGACAAAATAAGTAAAAGCAGGGGACTGGAAAAAGATCAACCCAGCTAAAAATACCTATGCTTCCCCATATTCATCCTGCTGTAATTGCCTTAGAATAAAAATGTCTTACTGTATACAAATGTACATAACAGCATTTCTTATACCTTACAATATATGTGATGTCAGTATTAGCTCTTCTAGAATATTGTGTCACAAGTGATGTTTTTTTTCACACTCACGGCAGACAATGGTGATAAGGAGCCACTCTTTCTCCTTTGTTGTCTTATCACTTCCCTGATCAATCTACAGACAGACTTCCAGCTAAAGGGTTGGACCTAGAACTGTTAGCAAGATAATCTAAGAATTATTTATTTTTTTAGCTCAACATTCCACAAAGGGAGGGATAGCAGACACCTCTAGGGAATTTGCCAGGCTCACAATTTATCTTTCTGGGAAAGGTTGCATTACTGACATTTCTACTCTCTTCCATTTTCATGTGTATTTTTTATCAAGAAGTAATACTCTTCCTCAAGGCTCCTGTAGAAGCTCCAGTCTCTGGTGAAGGTATCAACTTAGAGGAAAAGTTTGTTTTCATTTGAGTTCAGTATAAAAGGAATTCCTTGCACTGAGACTAGCTGGCTCTTGCTCTCTTTTATCCACATCATCCCTCAGTTTTTCATACAACACCAGTAAATGACGCCAAGAAAAAGTAATATATAACATCTCGTATTTACTTCCCATTAACCATTCAGGAACCTAAGATTCTGACTATGAGAGAGACAGAACAAGAGACAGGAACTCTACTTTTCACATAAGAGTTATTTTATTTTCTATAGCCATTTTATTAATATGCCTTTACAAAGTCATTTCTAAAGCACTGATCTCAATCTTCTAAACTACATATACAAAAGGTCTCCTTCAAAATAGTCACTCTCCTGTATTAATCAAAAGAATACCATATTCTTTTGTAAAAGACCTTATCTGTATAAGCATATACATTTTCAAAGAATTTAACATTTCTCTTATTCATCACACACTATCTTCTATTTCTATAATGTGATTTTTTTTTCCAACAAAAAGAAACATGATTGGAACTATTAAAGAATTAGTAACAACCTAAGTAACTTAATGCCTAAGAAATGTAGGTAGAGCTGTGAAATTTAATCTCTGTCTCATTTGGGAGGGTATCCTTTGAGTCTTCCTACTTGGAAAACTTACATTTAACAAATTAAGAATTTTAGTTACAAACAGATTGACATGAATGCCACAAAAAACTGATTGTATTTTAATGGAGGCTAATTTATGTAAGAATAAGATACATTAACATTTTAAAATATTTTACTTCAATACTTTAATACTACATTAATATTTAACCTTTATGCCCAGTTTTCTCTTTTAGTCAAGTACCATGAGTTAGCTTTACATTTCAGTTGTCTGAGACACATAAATAAAACTGATACTAGATTTATTAACTGACATAATTACAAAAACCTTAAGGAAAAATCTTTACAAATTAAAACATCAAGAAAATGAGGAACAAAGGCAAAAGAATCACCTCTAATCATTCTAATTAAATCCTTTTAAAAAAACCTTACTAATCAGATTAGTAAACATTATAAATCAGAAAGGACTTTATATTATGAACAGAGAGAAAAAGTGAAATGAAACAAAATACAACAATTTAAACTTACTGGGTTGTCTGTGGAATCATCAGCCAACTGTAAACCAAAATAGTCACGCTCAGTCAAATCAAGATGCTTGAAGACTATATCCAACAGAACTTGCCCCTGATCATGTTTCTAGAAGAAAAATAAAAGGAAATCAACACTGGTAGGCAATACACTTTCAGATTTTCGAGCTCCTAAACTTCTGTCCTCTTCTATTAAATTGGCAACTATTTCTAAAACAATGACTTGATTCAGGATAAAGAGTTTATGTGTTAACATACTACTTAAAAATCAGTCTGATTTGGGGAGCCTGGCTGGCTAAGTCCGTAGAGTATGCAACTCTGATTTCTGAGCCATAAGTCTGAGCCCCACATTCAGTGTAGAGATTACTAAAAAAACAAACTTAAAAAAAAAAGAAAAGGTCTGCTTAGGATTCTCTCTCTCCCTCTCTCTCCCCTCATTCTCTAAAATAATAATAATGATGAATAAATTAAATAAATAAATAAGATGCCATTAAGGAAAACCTTTGATTGAAATGGCTTCTGCTTTCAGGCTATTATCAGGGTATTTTTGTAACTGTATATTATTGCCTCATTAACTCATGCATATATCTTCATCATTTGTCTTACTGTTTTTATTCTTCCATTTAAATTGTAACTGGAAAGTGATGCACTCCTGGTATTAACTGTCTTTGTAGGATGTTAACAAGATGGTCATAGCAATTTCAAAATTCATACCAATACATGAAAATGTACAAAAAAACAACCTTCTTTGTAAGGTTATCTTACAAAGAACTTTCCTTCATGTCTTACTGGTCAGACTGGGTCATAAAGCTACTTGCAAAATTCACTGGTGGCAGAAAACGTGTGCTTCAAAGAGTGCTTCACAATGGCGGCTATCATTCGAATAACATGTAAGAATTTTTCATATGGACACAATTTACCCTCCCATCCCTCTCCCATTCTCATTAAATTACTCCAGGATGACTATCACCACTACTATTCAACATAGGACTAGAAGGCCTAGCCTCAGCAATCAGACAACAAGAAGAAATAAAAGGCATCCAAATTGGCAAAGAAGAAGTCAAACTCTCATTCTTTGCAGATGATATGATACTTTATGTGGAAAACCCAAAAGACTCCACCCCAAAACTGCTAGAACTCATATAGAAATTCAGTAATGTGTCAGGATAGAAAATCAATGCACAGAAATCAGCTGCATTTCTATACATCATCAAGACAGAAGAAAGAAATTAAGGAGTTGATGCCATTTACAATGGTACCCAAAACTGTAAGATACCTAAGAATAAATCTAACCAAAGAGGCAAAGAATCTGTACTCAGAAACCTATAGAATTCTCATGAAAGAAACTGAAGAAGACACACAAAAATGGAAAAACATGCCATGCTCATGGATTGGAAGAACAAATATTGTTAAAACATCTATGCTACCTAGAGCAATCTATATATTTAATGCAATCCCTATCAAAATACCATTAACTTTTTTCACAGAAGCGGAACAAATAATCCTAAAATTTGTATGGAATTAGAAAGACACAGAATAGCTAGAGAAATATTGAAAAAGAAAAGCAAAACTGGTGGCATCACAATTCTGGACTTCAGGCTTTATTATAAAGCTGTCATCATCAAGACAGTATGGTACTGGCACAAAAATAGACACATAGATAGATGGAACAGAATAGAGAGATCAAAAATGGACCCTCAACTCTATGGTCAAATAATCTTTGACAAAGCAGGAAAGAATGTCCCATGGTAAAAAAGACAGTCTCTTCAACAATTGGTGTTGGGAAAATTGGACAGCCACATGCAGAAGAAAGAAACTGGATCATTTCTTTACACCACACACAAAAAAAGACTCAAAATGGATGAGAGATCTCAATGTGAGACAGGAATCCATCAAACTCCTTGAGAACACAGGCACAGCAACTTCTTAGAAACACTGCCAAAGGCAAGGGAAGCAAGGGTAAAAATGAACTACTGGGACTTCATCAAGATAAAAAGCTTTTGCAGAGCAAAGGAAACAGTCAACAAAACCAAAAGACAACTGACAGAATGGGAAAAGATATTTGCAAATGACATTTCAGATAAAGGGCTAGTATCCAAAATCTGTAAAGAAATCAAACTCGAAAACACCCAAAGAACAAACAGTCCATTCAAGAAATGGGCAGAAGACATGAACAGACATTTCTCCAAAGATGACGTCCAAATGGCCAACAGACACATGGAAAAGTGCTCAGTATCACTCAGCATCAGGGAAATACATATCAAAACCACAATGACATACCACCTCACACCAGTCAGAATGGCTAAAATTAACAAGTCAGGAAACTACAGGTGTTGGCAAGGATGCAGAGTAAGGAGAACCCTCCTACACTGTTAGTGGGAATGCAAGGTGGTACAGCCACTCTGGAAAACAGTATGGAGGTTCCTCAAAAAGTCGAAAATAGAGCTACCTTATGACCCAGCAATTGGTAGTACTGGGTATTTACCCCAGATACAAATGTAGTGAAAAGAAGGGCCATATGCGGGGCGCCTGGGTGGCTCAGTGGGTTGAAGCCTCTGCCTTTGGCTCAGGTCATGATGCAGGGGTCCTGGGAAGGAGCCTCAATCGGGCTCTGTGCTCAGCGGGGAGCCTGCCTTTCCCTCTCTCTCTGCCTGCCTCTCTGCCTACTTGTGATTTCTGTCAAATAAATAAATAAAATCTTAAAAAAAAAAAAAAAGAAGAAGAAGGGCCCTATGCACCCCAATGTCTATAGCATCAATGTCCACAATAGCCAAACATGGAAAGAGCCTAGATGTCCATCAACTGACGAATGGATAAAGAAGAGGTGAGACACATACACAGTGGAATATTATGCAGCCATCAAAAAAGAAACCTCACCATTTGTAACAACGTGGATAGAACTAGAGGGTATTATGCTAAGTGAAATAAGTCAATCAGAGAAAGACAATTATCATATGATCTTATTGATACATGGAATCTGAGAAACAAGGCAGAGGATCATAGGGGAAGAGAGGAAAAAATGAAACAAGATGTACCCAGAGACGGAGACAAACCATGAGAGACACTCAATCTCAGGAAACAAACTGAGGGATGCTGGCATGGAGGAGTGTAGGAGGGAGGGGTGGCTGGGTGATGGACACTGGGCAGGGTATATGCTATTGTGAGCACTGTGAATTGTGTAAGACTGATGAATCACACACCTGTACCCCTGAAACAAATAATAAATTATATATTAATAAAAAGAAAAAAAGAAAAAAAAAAAAAAAGAAAAAATCCAGGATGGAAATCAAGCATTAGTCTTTTAAAAAGCTACTAAGAGGGGGTGCCTGGGTGGCTCAGTGGGTTAAGCCTCTGCCTTCGGCTCAGGTCATGATCTCAGGGTCCTGGGATTGAGCCCCACATCGAGCTCTCTGCTCAGCAGGGAGCCTGCCCCCCCCCACCCTGCCTGCCTCTCTGCCTACTTGTGATCTCTGTCAAATAAATAAGTAAAAGTCTTAAAAAAAAAAAAAAGCTACTAAGGGGAGTCTAAAGTATTCTTTTAGAGACAAGATGGAGTAGAAGTATTCCTCCCTATACCTTCAGCTAAGTGAAACAAAGAAACAAAAAACAGATTAAAAATAAGAAAACTCTGAAAGGTGAAAAGAAAGTGGCAGCTGGGCAAGGGAACTCCTTTTTTCTTTCCATTTCTTTTCATTGAGGTAAAATTCACATAATCTAAGACCAACCATTTTGTACAAATTAGTGGCATTTAATATACTGACAATATTGTGTGATCATCACTTCTACCTAGTTCCAAAACATTTTCATCACGCTAAAAAAAGTACCATAACCATTAAACAGTATCCCTCCCCATCTCCTGGCAACCACTTATGTGCTTCCTGGCTTTATGGATTTATCTATTATGGACATTTCATATAAACGGAACCAAACATATATAACCTTTTGTGTCTAGCTTTTTTCACTTAGCATACTGTTTTCAAGGTTCATCCATGTTGTATCATGTATCCACCTTTCATTTCCCTTTTGTAATGGTTAAGTAATATTCTAGTATATGGATATATCAGAATTTTTCAGTTGATGGCATCTGGATTGTTTCCACTTTTGGGTACTGTGAGTCATGCTACCAAGAACACTGCTTTCAATTCTTTTGGGCAGGTACAAAGTGGAACTGCTGGAGCATATGGAAATTATGTTTAACTTTTTGAGGCACTAAAAACTCCTAAGTGCAGCAGCTGTAGCAATTTATATTCCCACCAGCAATGTGTGAAATCCTAGTTTCTCTAAATCCTTGCCAACATTTGTTATTTTCTATTCTTTTGATTAAAGCCATCCCAGTAGGTATGAAGTAGTATACTTCAATGTGGTCTTGATTTCCATTTCCATAAAAACTAATGATATTGAGGATTTTTTTAATGTGCTTATTGGTCATTTGTACATCTCTGGAAAAATATCTAATCAAGTTCTTTGCCTATTTTATCGGGGGGGGGGGGGTAGAGGGAAAGAGAGACTGTTAAGCAGGCTCCATGCCCACCATGGAGCCCAATGTGGAGGTCTCATCTCACAACCCTGAGATCATGACCTGAGCTAAAATCAAGAGTCAGACACTTAACTGACTGAGCCACCCAGGTACCTTTCTGCTCATTTTAAAAACTGGGTTGATGATCATTTTGTTATTCATTTTTTAAGTTCTTTTTATATTCTGGATGCAAATATTTTCTCCCATTTGTAGGTATCTTGATCATATACTTGGATACACAAAAGTTTTAAATTTTTGTGAAGCCAAATTTATTTCTTTTGAGGTCATATTTATGGATTAACTGACAAATCCAAGGTCATGAAAAATTACCTATGTATTTGCTTCTGAAACTGTTATGGTTTTAGCTCTTAACATGTAGTTCTTTCACTTTTTTAAAGCTCATTTTCATATATGGTAGGTATATACCTAGACAGGGGCACAACTGCATTCTTTTACATGTGGGTATCTACTAATCCAAGCACCATTTATTGGAGAAACTATTCTTTCCCTACTGAATACATCTTGGTAACTTTGTCAAAAACCTGTTGGCCACAAATATATGGATTTATTTCCAAATGTATGCATTATTTTTT